GTAAAGTGCCTCAAAATGCATCGTGTCTGTTCGGGTGTCGATAGCAGGCCTTAATTAAAATTAACATTTTTTGCACAAAACTTAACAAGCCTCTGGCTCTGGCTCTGGCCCGGCCCGGCCCCTGATACCTTGCTGCCGCCACTCTTTAAACATTGTCGGGTTATGCTTTTAGGCCAAAGTTAACTCAATTTGTTGTGAGTCCTCCACAAAAGGGATATGGCAACGTGTGGGTGCCTCGGCTTCCTCTAACCTCTCACCCCAGATTTCTATTGATTCAGATGATGGTTATTTAATTTGGAGCGTCAAGTGTGCGTTATTGATGCGAGCCGAAGAGGCTTTTGAGTGCATTTGCTGTTTTAATAGCCTGTGGCCATCAGGATGGGTCAATTTTATGGTAATTGAAGGATAGCGAGAAATAATGTACCTACAGGTATGGGAAGAAACAAAATAATGCTTTAGAATTTTTAGGCTTAAATACTACCTTTTTTATAATACTAGTCCTAATACTTACAAGCCATGCAATTATTACTTCTGCTTCTGATATTAAACTACATTTAATAGATTTTATGAAGAAGAGTTCTTGAATTCTGAAATATAATATTCCATGACACAGCAAACTGCATTTTTTTATTCTATAATCCCGCGAAAAACGACATTTATCCACCGAAGGCGAAACGCGCACACAACCGTATTTAATAACCGGCTCATATTTCCATATAGTTTATTTGACTTTTTGCGAAAATGCATTTCCGCGGCAGTCGCCTGCTGCCGTCGGCGACGAGGGGAGCGGAAAAGCGTTCAGGTCTGCCCGGGTAAATATCAATATTTACACCTTTAATTAAAAACGCTAACAAGGTTATTTAGTATGTTGTAGAGGAGGCAGGAGGCAGGATAGGAAGGGGACTGGCCCGGAAATCTGGCAGGAAGTCAGCCGTGGCTGCCAAACAAGTGAAGCTACGGTTACGCGTCCTCTTACTCCCAATGTTGGAAAAGCTTTTAAGCGAAAATGCCAAAATGGAAATGTAAAATTTATTTTTCATTTACTGGCTTAACTTTAAATAATGCACTAAGTGGGAAGGATATTTGGTTGGGTTTCCAAAGGTTTATATATTAAGTGCTTTATGATATCTGGTCATGTAAGCGAGAAAAGTTCAATCATGGTTCAAATCCAGCTTAGTGGATGACTAATTCATCCTCTTTGGATGGCACAATCTGGATACCCCAACTGCAATAATCACGCCTGCATTGTGTGCCTAAAATATTTGTCATATTGCACGTGCCACCAAATTTCCAAAGGCGCCGCTAATGCCGCATCACCACCCACAGGGCAAGGTGGTGACATTAAAATCCAAATATTCAGACTCTACGCTGCTGCATGTCGTTTAATTAAAAAATGCCCCAAAAGCATTTACCCAAACCCCAGGCCAGATGAGGCCGCAAAAGGGCTAAAAACCAATGCAACCAGTGCTGGTGATGCAGCAGTTGCAAGTGTAAAGAGGGAGGCGTGCACTTTAATGAAAACGGAAACCAAATAATCAGGAAGTGACAATCTCCCAGGGTGGCGGTCAAGCTCGGATGGTATAATGGCAGGACCTCCAGGACAAAGGCGCACTCCATTGCAAAATGGGAAAAGTGCAACCCATGGAGCGTATGAATTTAATGATTTAATCGCAGTGGCTCACCCCCATTGAGATTCGCTTCCTTTTTTTTGTGCCACGCCTTGTTGACACTGCATGCGTGTCAAGAGAATTTGTCAAAAAATGCAACCGCCGCTGGCCGCCCCGGGGGAACATGGACAATACTAAGTGGACTTGGAGATGGACTTGGCGATGGAATGAATATGAGGGTACAGGGCCGGGAGATGGGCCGTGCAAGTTATTGACTTTGTGTCTCTGTCAAATCCTGGCATGTGGTCAACATTTAAGTGTAATTAATGCCCGCGGCAGTCGCCAGTTGCATTTCATCCGCTCACTCCGAATATGAAAACCAAATATTGCGCTTAATTTGATTAGCATGTCTGCGTCCAGATTCCGATTGCATTTTTTGGTTCCATTTTTGCAATTCTAGCCGGAGGCACATTCGACTTTATTCTTATTATTTTTGCAATACCGGAAATATGGTGAAGCTGAAGTATGTTCAGGAATAACCAGCAGAAATATAAACCATATAATTTTGAAATAAAAAATGGCAAAAATGGCATCTGAAACTAGTATATGAACATACAATTATCTTTATAAAGTCTTTAATTTTAAATGGTTAACAGAGTTCTTAAGAGGGAGTTCCACCACTCTAATCCTAGTACTATCAACCAATTCCTCTGTCCCCAGGGACTATACTTGTATGGAAACCATTTCTTGTCAAAGGGCGCTAATCGAAAGTGTTGCTACCTTGGTAATTAATAGTTTTCATCATCAGAAACTTTCAAACACTTTGAACTGTCAGAAACTATATGCAAATGCGGCAAAGTTCCTTTTCTTGGGCAAGAAAATTGAATTCTTCTTGGGTTAGTTGGAAGACCCCAACCCTTGCCCTTATTGTGGGTTGCCATTAACCCCTTAGAGTCCCGTGTGGCCTTTGACGCCTCGTGTGTGGAGCATAATTACAGGGACCAGTCAAGTTCTTCAATTAAAATATATTTGGTTTTCAAAGAGTGTGGGTTTGGGTCTCCTTTAGTTTTTGACATGGAATGGCAAAGTTTTCGACGCGCCTCGTTGCGGCTTTGTGCGATTTTTAATCCTTTGTGCCTCTGACAATCCAATTAAAAATGATTTGTGGTTGCTTTGTGTAAATAGTTAATGTGTTTCAATAATATTGTATAGTTATTAACGAATAAAAGATCTACAGAAGTTCAATATATTTTTTAATCAAGTTTATTATGATTTTTTGTTTTATTAAAATTAAAGCAAGTCTCAAAAGAGAAAAAAATACAAATGCCTGGCATTAATATCCTTCATACATATATATACTCCATACTTTGGAGTCCAAAGTGTCGAACAAAAAAGTAGCAAAAGCCCCATGACAGTCATAATGATGACACACTTACCACATAAACCGCACGCACCACATATAACCACCGACAGGCCAACCACCAGATTCCGCCGAGAGTGGTGCCCCAGTGTTGGGGGGGAAAGTCCCTGGGACCGGGAAATCCGAACAAAAAAAGGGTTGGCTAGTGGAAAAGGCCCTTGTAGCAGCTCCAGAATTGCCACTAAAATGCACGCTAATGAGTTTCAATTACGACCGACTGACAAGGCTGCTGGATGGAGTCGCGGAAGGGTGAATGGTTGAACGCATCTGAAACAGTTTTTATTTTTATTGACGTGGCATTTGGGCCTTCTATCGTCGTCGCCGTTGTTGTCGTCGCTTCTGTTGTCAATTTGCGTAAAATTTTCGTCCTTTTTGGAGTGTTTGTTTGTCGCTGCTTTGATTGAAACTAAACGACGAGCTGAGCTTCAGCTTTTTGAAGGTGTGGCGTGTGGCATGTAGCTGGTGGGAGGGCATGGGAGACATTAGATGAGGGCTTGGAAAGTGCTTGATTTTAATTAAATTCCCGTTCCCACAAAATTCGACGAAAGCAGCTGAGGCCGTTCTAGTCAGCGCCGTTCTGTGGCATCCACCTCATACCTCTCTCTGAACTCTGCTTCTGTTCGTCACTTGTCCTTCTGATTTCAGTTTCAACTTTTTTTTGTAAAATCGTAAACTTTTATGATTACAAGAGAGCCCAGCGCGTTTGTTGTTATTTGTGCTACTGGTGTTGCCGCTTACGTTGTGGCCTGGTGGTTGCCTTTTGCAACTTTGGCACATGTTGCACCGAGTGGGAGTGGTGCCACCTAAATGGTTATGGCGCCGAGCATTTTAAATAATTAATGGCCAAGTTCGAGTTGCTAGGACTCCGTTACAAGTGCAACTCAACAGAGGCGCCACAAATGTAATAAAAATGTTGGGCCAAAACTTTGACCAAGACGCACAAAATGCCAGAGAACTTTGGCCTTCTGCAGACATTTGCCAACTTCAGTCCAAAAATCGACTACTCGACTGCATTTCAATTCCCAAACGATTATAAACTACCGACGGTTTGCAAATTTAATTTACAACTACACAAAGTGAACAAACCGCAACAAGAGCTCCTCGCTGCGAAGTTTTTACTTTGTTAAGGTCGGAGGGCAGACTTTTATTTGCCACCTACGAAACAACTTTGGCAAACAGGGGTCAGCTGCCAGCTGGAGCTCCTGCTGCCGGCTCCTGGAATTAGCTGCTAACTGGGGAATAAAAATGTACTGAGGAAATAGTTTATATTTGATTTAAGTAAGTAATCTTTACATAAAGTAATCTAACATAAAAGCACTCTACATAGAACAGATCCACACTTGGTAAACTCTATCTCACAATTATATATTTAAACAATTTTTTCTATATTATTTCTCTCAGTTTAAAAAGGCTTTGGGAAAAGTTCTCCAGAAACAGGAAATTATGTTTATTATTACTTTGGCACACACAATTCCGGACTGAAAGTAGCCAAATGCTTTTCCCCAAACAATATGCAAATATTCGAAAGCCAAAGGAGCCTCAAAAGACCCTGAAAGAAGTCCCCTATTGCCCCACCCATTTCCCGAAAACTTCAAATTTAAATTAATAAGACAGGGGCCAGGATCGCCTGGCTGGATGAGCTTCGTTAGCTTCCTGGGCGGGAATCATCAGCATCAGGAGGAGCGTCCTCGTCCTAGGAGTGCACACTAAATTGCACTTTAATTGCACTTTAGGCGAGAGCCACTCGCCGAGAAAACTGGAAACTTTTCTTTCCTCTTCGATGCCAAAATTTTCGGCCATTGTCTGAATGGAGTGCAGACGGGAAATTTGGTAATCATCATAAATAAGTGATTCGAATTAATTAAATTCAGTTTTGGGACAAAAGTTCTTTTTCCAAGGAGGTAAGGTAATCAAAGTATTCGTGAAGAGTCTCCAGAGAAAAGAACAGGGTTAGTTAAAATATTTTTATACAGAATTTTTCTATAATTTCTCATTAATCTCAGGAACAAATATCACTCATAATATCATTAAAAGGAAACTAAAAATTTAGCTAAGTTGTACTTGATCCAGTTGCAGTTTTTTTTCCATGGCCGGCACTGTTTGCCCGTTGTGCTTGATGCCTCTAAGCCAACTGATGTACTCATCCGGAATACCCGTCTCCTTGGCGCCCTTAACCAGAACCTTGAGGTAGGTTTCGGAGGGCTGGCGATCGAGGGGAATGTATTCCTGGGCACCTGTGGCATGAACTATCGTAGCAGGCTGATTGGTCAAGTGGTAAGCCCGACAGGTGATGTTGGAGTTGCTGGCCAACGAAAGTACAGATATGCTGATCGGAATGTAGACGCGATCGGATACACTTTCCTGACTGTAATAGAGGTTCAAGAATTAGTATTTCTTAATGTGGTACAATTAAGTATTCATACTCATCCAGATCCTTGAGGTTTTTCATATCGATCTCCCAGATGGCTCCATAGACATGAGATCCGGGTGTGGCCACGATAGTGGCGGGTGCCCCGAGCCAGTTTTTCGATCCTGTATGAAAATCCAAGCGATAATTCTATAAACGCGGGATAAATTCCAGATTTTTAATTTTATTTAAAATTTTAGTGAAATATAATATTTTCTTACCTCCAATTTACCAGCTCCAATCCTTTTGGCTGTGGGATTTTGAATGTGAATCCTGCTGGCCAGCATGTTACTGCCAAAACCAAAATAGTAAAATGTGCTAGCCATAATTGAGGTAGTATATTGTCTGAAAACATTTTTTATAAAAAAAAAACATTTAATATAAAGTGTATAAGTTTTAAAGCCATTCGGCGCAGTTAGCAATGATTCAAAACCTCCCAAACTGTAAACTGCTTGCAAAAGGTTTGTGAAGGAAGCAGTTGATAAGTGGTTTAGAACTTGGCTAAAAAAAATTAAACGATTGAAAATTCCTTTTCTTTTTGAAAATTTAACTTTGGAACCTATATAAATTTTTGTTTTTTATGTTTCTCTAATATTTTTCTTAATACTTAAAAATTTACAAATATAAAATGCCGAAAAAATCTAGTATATTTAAGCTTTTGAGCTTTTGCATTGTAAATCAAATCAGCTGTGTCACCACAAAAATAAATACCCAAGGTTTATTGCTCTTTTAGGAATTTTTTCTTTGTTTTGAACTAAACTTACCTTGTATATTTATTGTTGTATATTATCACTATTTTATTTATTTTTCTATTATATTTGTACCTTGTTTTATTAAATTGTTTTGGGGAATGTACACGTCACTTAACTGAATTAATTTTGTTTACACGTTTCTGCTGGACAGCTGGGAGAGAACTCTCAGACTGATAAACCCAAACACAACGTTGTGATCCAGAGAGTGAGTGATATGTAAGTTCAGAACTTTTCATTGACAATGCCAGGGCTTGGAAAATGAGATACTAACTTCCTTTATTGAGTAGGTATTCTTCTTTTATTATTTCTTTCTTTGATCGCTTAAATTTAGATTAATTATATATTATTCTATATTTTAGTATATTTTATTCTTTATCTACATACATATATTTAACAATTTTTTTTATTTTTTAATTTTCTAGAGTTATATTTATTTGCTCCATCGTATAAAGGTTCCGGCTAATATTATAAAGCTTGCTGTTTGGTTTGAAACTTGGGAAGTAGTATTGAAAAACTGTTAAAACTTAAGTAAAGACTGCAACCATGATGAAAGAAAAATTTTCCAAAAAATGTTAAATTTTCTTATTTTGGAAAAAATTTATTAAAATTCTTAAAACTGAGTTGCAAATTATAATATAAAAGATTTAGACTTAGCGTCTCATCGGTTCTTTTATTATCCATATGCTACTTATTCACAATTGGACATCTTTCAGCTCCAGGTCTTGCTCCAGCTTACTGGCCACTCGATTGTTGTGTCTGATGCCCCTCAACCGCTGCACGTATTCCTCCGGAATGGAACTCTCGATGGCCCCCTGGACCAGACACTGGAGATAGGTTTTCGATGGCTGCCGGGAAGCAGGAACGGACTCTTGGGACAACTCGTAGAGATTGGTCTCCGGTTGCTGGATCAGCAAATAGGCACGGGCTGGGATCGATTCTGATGCATTTGGACGTTTTACGTAGACGGTACGCGGCTCATAGATGCCCAAATGTACGCCTTCTTGGCTGGGATTGTAATAATGGATAATCAGCCAATAATTCCAAAATAATAGTATATATCTTACTTGTCAATATCAGGCAGGTTGCTGAGGTCGATCTCCCAGAGAGTACCCCAGAGACTATCTCCCGGAGTGGGCACAATGGTCGCCACTGCTCCGTCCCAGCGTTCCGACTCAAAGGCGAAGTCAAGACGATATCCCTCCAGCAGGACGGGCCCAATCCTTACTGCAGTAGGGTTCTGGATGTGAATTCTTTTGGCTAGCATGTTGCTTCCGAAGCCAAAGTAAAGGAACTTGTTGCCCCGAACCTCGGGAAGATTCTGCGTGGCATTATTCACATTAATGCTGCTGATGCTGTTCACACTGCCGATGCTGTGGCAACTGGATCCAGGACATGTTGCCAGGAGCCATGTGGCGAAGCCGATGAGAATCTGACGATTCATTGGGTGAGTATGTTACTGTGACTGTATGTTACTTCCAAAGATTCGATCACGTTGGCAGTTGAACGGCTACTGAGTTAAATATTATTCCCCAAGAGATTACCTTAGAATATACCCTTTGTTTTATTTTTGGGAATATCACAATAGTTAATAAATTAGAACTAATTATAAAAAAATTCTAAATTAAAATCTTTATTTAAATTTTATCTTTATGCAGACCAAATTCTAACTTTCGTATTAAAAAAATATTATTTTTAATAAATAAGTTATTGGCGAGGGTATTTAAACTTTTATAATATCAGTTCTGGAAAAATACAACCAGTCACTTATCGCCTTTGTGTTCTAATCAGTTTTTGTTGACTTTAAAAAATATTTACTCAAATATAATTCAATTTAGGTTGGGAGAATATTGCAATAATAATCAACTTTATTTTATTTTGGAGACTAATTTGAATGTTTAAAAAATAAAACAAATGATAAAGCTGCATCTTAATCTAAAAACAAATTTTTGTTTAAAAAAATTTAATTATCTTTATCAGGACCAATACATTTTTAGATTTTGATGAAACTTTTAAACTTTAAAATGCTTTGGGTTATGTGCTTTAATAATATTAAATAGAATTTAAATGTATTTCTCACCAAAAGTTGTTTAGTTTTCAGATAAAAAAAACTTCTATTAGCACAGCAAGAGGCGTGTCTATTTTGTCAGTCAACGTTTTGGTTTTTAAAGTAAATTTTGAAAATCGAATTTGATGCAAACACAGACCGGGCAGCGAGTGAATGTCACCAGAAACCGATTCGTTTGGCTTTCGATTCCAATATTTGGTGACATGACGGCGGCAACAGATTGAAAGGGTGGCGGAGCTGGCTCTGTTTGCTTGGTAAGCCACAGTGACAGGCGTTTGCTCGGCGAACATGTACGAATATATTTTAAATGATTTTTGCGATTTTATTGTGGAATTTGTTGCATGTTCTCGATGGATGTTTGTGTGGCTTGCGGCCGGACTTTGGCCAGTTTGACATGGTTTCTGGCCAAACCAACAGCAAACCAAACCAGACCCGATCGTATAGGCGGAGGATGGGCCAGGACTCCAACAGAGCAGGCCAGGCCAGGACAGGACACGGGAGCTGAATGCGTTAAGAGGCCTGACGTGGTCAACATGACAGCTGCACTTTGTGGTGATTTATGTGTATGACTGCGAATGCCAGGTGAAAAAAATTTGCTTTTTTTTATCACTATCTGACAGCCTGTAATGCGCGCATAATGACAGCATACAAAGCGATTTGTAACAATTCATGAATGGCTGAATGATTGTGTGAATTACTATCCATTATCTAAATTTAAGGGTTTTTAATTGATGATAAGTATGAGTTATACGATTTTTATTCTTTTTTTTACTTTCAGACCAAAGGCATCTATCGTCTGAAACTCTTTGAAGGCTTTCGCAGTAGAATAACGAGACTCCGAGTAATGAAAGTGTTATGGGTTAAAAACAAATGTAATTAAATGATTAAAATCATGTTCTCTTTATTGATATATAATTTATTTTTTTTATGTTGGTAAATTTGTAAATATATATTTGTAAAATAAAATGAAAACAGTGGTTAACCCCACTTAGCTACTCTACTTAACTTTATTAATTTTATTGCACAACTTGCCGCAAATCATTCAATTTCTGTTCATTCCCATCCCATCCAAGCCTTGAGAGCCGTAAACTGGCGCCGACATAAATATTCATAAGTGCATGTGCCCTCCAAAATATCCTTCTCGTCCTTCTGGCGTTGTCCTTGTTATTGTTCCCGTATCTTGGCTAAGTTTCACGCACACATGAGCACATAAAGGCACATAACACAAATGATCCTGCATCATTATCATCAGTGATGTACAGCACAAACAAGGCACACAATACACATATTTGTGGGGAAAACATAGTGCCGTGCCGCTGCGCATATTCATAGATAGGACATGTAATTTAAATATGCCGCCATTCTCCATTCGCCATTCATGCTTTTCGCGATGCCATCGAAATGCCAACTGTGGAGTCATCAAATATTTTTTCCACCTGCCGCCAGTTTTTGTCATGTAAATATCGCACATCAAGTGTCTATAGTTACTATTTTCTGTAGAAAAAAAAAGGAAAATAATATTTAAAATCAAAAAACAAGTTTCCGATGCAGACAGCAGCCATATGATAAATGGATTTTCCGCATCCTCGAACTTTGGTTGTCGCATCCAGCACTTGGCAGCCTTTTGCTTTTGCTCTGCTTGTGCTTTGCTTTTCTGATTTTGCTCGTTTTCACATCTCATTTAAAGTTTCGCGCGAAAAGTTGAACGCTGTATGCGCATATAGAACATATCTTATTCCCATTCCAAATATCAAAATATCTCTGTATGTACAAGAAATTTTATGTGCCAGGCTCTAATTTGTTCCATTGTTCCATGAATTTCATGGTCGCATAAAATAGAAGATGAATAATAATACCTTACTCTAATGACTTCGGGCTAAACATGATTTATTTAATTTTTAATAAATGTCACATTTAAGCAACTTTTATGCCAATACTCTTCTAGCAGAAAATTACCAATCGCATTCAAAAATATTCTTTAAAATTGAAACAAAAATTATCGCAGTTTTAAGACATTTTTAAAAATCAACAATTTTCAATTCCATACAAAAATGAAGCTTAAGCAAATTAAATATTTACCAGAGCGTGAATCGATCAATTAACTGAAATGCCGCAGAAGAACAAATAACAGAGAAATATTTGCATTTCATTTGTTGGGTTTTGCGCAGTTTTTAATTAATTTTTAATGCTCGGCAATCGACAAAAAAACGTTAATCAAACAAAATTTTGTTGAAAAATCGAGCTCTGGTTTATGGCAATTGTTTTACTAAGTGAACGTGGCAAAAGGATTGAGGATTCAGCACGTGTCTCTGTGTGGGTGCCAGTTTGAGTGGATGTGTCTGTGGAATAAATTATCCAACAAAGCCTAACACGAGTCTGCCATTAAAATGATTGAGCCGCAAAACCAAAGAATCCACACAAAAACATTCAACCCAATTGCCAAGTAAACGGATTAAATTTCCGATTGACGATGAGTGGTAATCAGATTTTCTTTCAATAAAGACTTTTAAATACTCTGATAAGGATTTTATAACCCTTAGGTATATTACTAAACGTTATTCTGGAGCTCAATTATGTAACCAATGTTTCGTAAAAAAATGTGTGTGTGTGCCTGTAATTTCAACAAAGACTCAAGGACCTTTGGCAAGTCACGTTGCTTGAAATCCGCCGACACACGACGACGAACCTTCTTGATATATGGTCGTGACATAAGAAAACTTTTCGGCAAGATTAGCAGGAAGTTCGCAGGTTCGTTGTCCAAATATTTGCGGGAATCCAATGCCAAAGTTTCCTTTTTCTTGGGCTGGGAAGGAAAACATATTTTGGTGGCTTAAAGCTTTTTTTTATTTTATTTTTGTGGAATTTTGGAAATGCACAAAAGCGGAGGTGATGTCAGAATTCAGGTGTGTGCTGTTCAAACTTGACCTTAGCTGAACTTTGGAAATCAATGTCACTTAAAATGAAAAACTTGTAGCCAAGGACCACATTTTTATAATTTACATTTCAACAAGCTCTTATTCTAGAAATTTTATTAAACCTACAAAAAAAACCGTTTTTGCCAAGAAATGGGTGATTGGCCCTACTTGAGAAACCACAAAATTGGTTTAAAAGAGTAGTTCTATTAGAAATTTCTGTGAATATTTTAAAAGAATATTCTTTAAACATGTTCAGATTAAAAACCCAGAGAAATTCCAATTAAATGATATGAAATTCAATTTCAAATCCTTTCCATTTTACAAGATTACTCATACGCCACGTGCGCAGGAGTCACGCTGGCAAACTGGAGTTCATACAGACGGACTTCATAGCATCATCATCATAATCAGGCCCTCATATCGAGGGCAGACTTGTCCATTATTAGCGCCACCGTCAATGCCAACAACAAAGTGATAAACTGCTCAACAGCCTGGCATCAGGGAGTCAATTATATAATGAAGCGTCGATGTCGATGTCGATGTTGTTGCCTTGACTATATCTATCGCCTGACAAGCTCGTTACAATTTATGCATTGTTTGTATTGCTGGGTTGTTTGGGTGAAAAGTCAAGGGAACGAAAGGAAGGAAGGATGCCTCTCTAGTGTGACGCACTAATTTGTGACGTTGTCCGCAGGACGAGGCCGGACGAATTCAAGGGTTAGCTGGCACTATAACCCTGCCCTGTTGGTTTTGCTGGCTGTCACAATGCCTGTCAATGTTTGGACATTTGTCGATGACCATAAAACAGAAGCTTAAATATTAGATCGCTTGTTGAATTTCCAACTGATGGAATAGCTCTTGAGGTGTGTTTGTGGGCTAAGTGGAATCTACTGACATTTAAATGTAAATATAATTTCATTGAGTAAACTCATTTTAGTGGCTGCTCATCGTAATTCCAATGCTTTATTGGGAAATAAATTCTATTAATACTACTATTACGACCATACAAATTGATAAGTATTTTAGGTATGTATGTTAAGAAAATCAAAATGTTCCATTTGTGTTACAAAAAAGTGTAATAATTGAAATTTAACGAAATGCAAATACGGTAGCGTAAAAAATTAATAGTAAAATTATTGTATTGAAATAATGCGAAAAAAAAATGAAACGGAAAACTTCCACCACGTAGGTAAATAAAATTTCCGCTCCTGAGGCAAACATGAAACTGTTTTATTGGCTGTCCAACGACTGCCCACAGATAATAAATATTTGCAATAAAAACTGTGTATGTCAGACAGTTAACCGATTGAGTTCGCAGTAGCCAGCGACAGCTCAGAGCCCGCATGAAAACGCCTTGAATCTGCAGGCCAGGCTTTAAGTTCTCCTGATGAGTTGTTGCTCATCATCCCGTCTTTTCACGACTTCCAGTTCCCAGGAAGCCTCAAGAAGGATGCACATGTTTGCATGCAATGGCGGCTGCATGCAAAATTAATAAGGCATAACTTGGTTTATGCCCCCGACTTCCTGGGGCGGAAAAAGTGTGCTTGTACGGGGTGAATTAATTAAAAAGAACTGGGAAGGAAAAGGAGGCTTACATTTGGAGTCTTATACTTTCGAGGAGTCTTTTTCCGCCTTTTTTCAATATACTTGTATCCAGGGCCGTAGCTAGAGCCTCGGGGGCCCTGGGGCAACAAGTAAATTTTGGGCCCCCTATACGGAAGTCTTTTGTCCCGGCGGGGCCCCTTCCCTTCGGGGCCCTGGGGCACCGCCCCACCTGCCCCATGCTAGCTACGGCCCTGCTTGTATCGACCAACATACTAGAGTTTCTTTTCAGTATAAAAATCAATATTTAAATACGTATTGCAAGTCTATTTAGGACATGGTAAATTTTTATAAATTTTATATTTCTTATTTTTTATCATTATCAGTATTAATAACTCAAAATTCCATTTATATGATGATTTAACGATTGAAATTCTAGATTCTTCAAGATTTAAAAACTCAACCAAAATATATGATTGCATATGTCCTTATATTTGTCCAAATCATGCGAAAATTTATACTGCCAGCCTTAGATTTTTCTAATATGTTAAGGCCGGGAAGGTATTTAGCTGAGTTAAAACCATTTTTTCATAACAAAAATGTAAAAAATTAAATAGACATAAGGTTAAGACTAAAGTTTCTGTTTCCTGGTGGATTCTGTTTCCCAACATCAGCTGTGTCGAGCTGTGTTCGAAGTTAATCTTTTCGATGGAGTCCGATATATTATTACAAATATACACTCATCATTGATGTGCTACAGAAATTTTATTTCATATAAACAAAATATTTTAAAATACACTCCACTATAAAGTCTATGTAAGGTCCTTTATAGTGTTTAAAAAGGCCAACACGTATTGCGGGCCTCATGGTAGTATCTGCCTGGACCACAGGCCTTATCCTTCCATGAGTCTTCCCTGGTGGGAATCTGAGCATTGACAGCGCCAAGTACCAGGCCCAAAAGCAGCAGAATCGAGCTGTGTGCGAAGTTCATCTTTTCGATAGTGTCGGTTGATCATTTTGGGGTTTCGGTCGGCTATTTATACTGGTCTGCTGGTGGAATTCATGGCAATCGGATAATCCATTTGATATGGTGATTTAACGATTGAGATGCTATGTTCTGAAAGATTTAAAAACTTAACCAAAATAAATTTATCCTAATTGTTTATTAAACCATGCGGAAAAAGTGTTTAAATTTTTTTTGTCATGCTTGATTCGGAATGGAATGGTGCTATGCTTTAGTAGTTAAAAGTTCTAAGACTGGAAAGGTATACCATAATGAGATCTTCCGTGTATTAGGCGAGACGAAAAGCCAAGAATGCATACAATATATCTGATAGTTTTTAATTTGCTGAAATTGAAACTTTTCAATCGCTTCGAAAAGTTTCTTCTAATTATGTATCAATCGATCAGAAAAGTCTCCACCAACAGATATGGTAATTTGAACAAAAAAAAAGAATGGAAAGTTAACTTCTGGCGGAGCCGGATATAGCCTGATATGTCGGATATTGCTGGCCGATCCTTATGAGCATATCATAATAAAACCAATTTATTAGAAGATAAAATTTAAAAAAAAAGTACCTTCCAAAAAAACAAAGTTGGTATTTTTACCAAATACAATATCCAATCGTTTAGTTATAGAATATAGACGGCCGATCCTTATGAAATTTTTTAGGTTGGATTAATTGACCAAAAATAGAATCTGTGGGAAGTTCCAACGTTCTATCTTCAAAAACACGAAATATGGGTAATTTCCTATCGTGGTAGCTATAGGATACAGTCGGCCGATCCTTATGAAATTTGGTATCGTTTTATATTGCAAAACATAGAATTCATAGAAAATCTCAACTTTCGGACAGAAGGACAAACGGTCATGCTTATATCAACCCTGATCAAGAATATAAATATTTCTTAGGGTCAGAAAGGTCTTCTTACTGCGTTGCACACTTTTGACCAAAATTATAATACCCTCCCTTTGAAAAAGTCTGAAAAGTGCCTAAAAAAGTGTGTTACAAGTTTTTGATTTTAAATAATGGTGCTCGAAGTTCTAGGACAAATATAACAAATATGCACTTATCATTGATGTTCTATAGAAACTTTATTTCATATAAACAAAATATTTTAAAATACACTCCGCTATAAAGTCTATGTAAGGTCCTTTATAGTGTTTAAAAAGGCCAACACGTATTGCGTGCCTCATGGTAGTATCTGCCTGGGCCACAGGCCTTATCCTTCCATGAGTCTTCCCTGGTGGGAATCTGAGCATTGACAGCGCCAAGGACCAGGCCCAAAAGCAGCAGAATCGAGCTGTGTGCGAAGTTCATCTTTTCGATAGTGTCGGTTGATAATTTTGGTGTTTTAGTCGGCTATTTATACTGGCCGGCTGGCGGAATTCATAGCAATCGGATACTCCAATTGATATGGTGATTTAACGGTTGAAATACTAGGTTCTAATCACTTATGTAAACTCCATCGCTTTCGTTTCACTCTTCTCCACTGACCTATTCCGATTGTGCAGCCCACTTGGCGTATACTTGATGGTAAACAAGCGAAACGAGCAGTCGACAAACACACACATTTCCACTTTTTCCCTTCCGCTCTCAAGTCTCTCTCAGCAATTTAAATTACATTTGTGTTTGAATTTGTATGCCAAACGAATCGAAAGCTCCAGGGGAGGGCCACATCATCATCATCCATCCGACTTTATCCCAATTGCACACCATACTTTCTTTGCCCATACCACCCCTTGATTAACTACACATTGAGGGAAATTGATACGCACTTTTCACTTGCGTTTCCCTTTTCCGAAGTGCCTCTTAAATTTGTTTGCTCTCTCACCTTCGCCGGAATTCGTGACAGAAGCTAGTCTGCTCTTGGCAATACATTTTCCTGCCATCAACACGTGTTTGTTTTCCTTGCATTGCATTTAAAGCGAGCTAAGATCAGATACACTAAAATATTTCATAAAGTATTAAACCATCTTAATAGACTCGTAAAGTAGGTTTTGTTAAGCTTTTCATACTCTTTATAGTGAACATCCTATCTTTTACGCAACTGATGAAGAAAAGGAATTCCGCGGATCGAATTAAAACTATAATCAACTTCAAACCGAATGGAAAATGGTAAAAATAATTATGTTACCTTTTTAAAAATGTTACCTTCAGTTAACCCTAATTTAACCTTTAAAAAAAACTTGTTTCTGAAAAGTTGTATAATAACTTCTTTCCCGATTCTTTTTCGGCAGTTTCTGGTGAATATTTTACAATCTCCTTTCCGGATAGTATCTTTAAAAAGCAGCAGCTGGGAAAGACTTATTACTTGAGTGATTCTTACTGCTTGCAGCTTACATGGGAATATAATTACCCGGCAGAATGGTTAACGACAAAAGTGGGCCGAAAGCGAGGAGTCATTATGTGAAAGCGGATAGGTTTTTCCACTGCCTTTTGCAGCGCCACCCACTTTCTTTCCTTTGTATTTTGTTGCAGCCTTCGGTAAAATGAAACTTAAACTTTAAGTTTGACTTTAATGTCTGTTGAAACGAAAACATCCAACTTAAGCTAAAGTTTCCGTGGTACTTGTAGGGGCTCCTCCACCTCGAATTCAATTAATTACGCGTCGAGGGGAACAGGGAAACATGGAGAAGGCCAGAACCTGCGGAAGTTACTTTATTTCGGCACGTGATAAATTAATTTAAGCCGGAGCCAAAATGTTACGTCTAATGTTTTTGCATACACATGGCTAGGTGCCATCAGGTGGATCTCCAGGAGGAATAGTGGGTGGTGGGACAGTGGCGGCTTGGCTTATCGAAGTGGGCGTGGCAACAACTTAATTACGCTACGCACGGAAGCTAATTGAGTTCGTACCGTAACGAAAATAAAACGCCATTTGGCTTGGCATTGAGACCAAGTTTCGCTTTTCGGTTAGCAATTACACGCAATTTTCATAGTCTTGAAACAGTGGTTTAATTGTCAATAAATACTTATAGTCCCATAGCTCCTCATTTCAAATAAAAAAATGGTTTCATTATACAAGAATTCGAGGCTTTTATATTCTTAAGATAAAATAATTAGTAACGGAGTTAAACTAATTTAAATATAATAGAAGTTTTCAATAGACCACTGTGCTTAGTTCACCTCGAGGACGTGCTTCTTGAGTATTTCATGTTTATGGCCCTAAAAACAGTTTCCTAATTGCCTAAATATTTGAATGCTGAGCAAACATTTGGCCAAATCAATTTGCCTGAGAGATGGGGGTGAACCGCAGGCTGACCCAGACCTCTATGATGGCCACGAACTGAACCGAAGCCAGGCGAACCCATCTCAGGGTCGCCTTTCATTCGCACTCCACTCCTCTGACAGCTCAATTTACTACTCGACTCGCCCCCTGTTTCCACTTCGAACACCCACTAATTATAACTTGGCCGTAATCTGCGTATTAATCTCAGTTTTTCGGTGGTGCCAGGAGAACACAAAGCCGGGTTCTTCAGCTCTGGACTCACTTTTCAGTTTTTTTCTCGTTTTAGCGTAAAACAAATGCCAGCGAATTTATTTGGTTTATTTTTGCGTATATTTTGTAGCCGTTCCTTCGTTTTGGCTGCTTTTGTCTAATTTAGCACTTGACACGGAATATTATTAATTGGTCTAGACGAGCTCGAGACAAAAGGCCCAATCCCTACTTGCCCTTAATGAGCAATAAAACTAAATACTTGGGATTCCCAAGTTATGATTTTAAGCAGGGATTATAATATGAGAGCATTAGCAATTAGTAAGCTTTTAGGAGATTTATAATTTTATAAAATAAATTTAAATTCTGTCGAAATGTAAATGAATTTGTGCCTGAAAGTGCACAAGGCTTGTCAACCGGGACACCAAGATGTGTTAATGCAAATCTTTTCACCCAAAGTCTAGACCCCAGACGCCACATGTGTCAGCGACGCACAAAGTGATATCCAGCCGCATCAAGTTTATACCTCGATGAGTTCTCGGTTCAAAGACCAGAACCATTGGCCGAGGACTTAATTAGCAAACGAGGGCTTGAGGATGAGTTTACGTTCTGGAACTTAGGATGTGCCCGACAGAGTTGACTTTCTGCCACTTTAGGATCATTCCTGTCAAGTTCAGGGCTCTGAACCTCGACTGGGTGTTCCAACTGCAGACTGCTCCTTCGCTCCAGTTTGTACTTTGACAAGTGCAGTGCCACCCAACATCTGTCTTACTACCATTCGAGTCTGGCTATATCCTGTCCCCCTTAGTCCTTTCCCTCCATCTCGAAACTGTCCATCAACGTCAGCTCGTAAGCCACTTGGCTTAAATTTCATTATAATAAAACGAAACATCACGTTTGCAGGAAGGCGGAAAGGTAGATCATGTTCTTATTTATGTTTGCTTGAGTTGCTATAAACATGGCTGCTCTTTAGAGCTAAGGAAGTGACTTCATCTTATGTTAAACTAGATAATCTAGTTTCTTTGTGATTACGAATGCAAAATGGTACTACACTTCTTAGTTTCTTTACTATAGTACACTCTTTAAAAATGTTAATATGTACAGAAAATACAAACCTTTAATCGTGGCCCTTATTTGCTGCCTCCAACTGTGGAGGCACATCCCCAGCTTTGTGGCAACCATTTTTGGTTATCAAAAATGACCACACAATGGGCCAAAGTGTGCCATTGACATTGTGTGGCAGGCTCCACGTTTATGCCACATAACCGGTACACCCCGAACTTTTCACCTGCTTTGTGGCCGTGCCACTTGTTTGAAATATCACAGACAATTAAAAAGTTACCATTTGCTTGGTGCCATCAAATTTAATGCTTAATTTTAGTGGACAACTTTTGTGTGTAATTGCTATTGTGCTGCTGGGGTCCTTTCCAGCCCCTTTGCTAATTTATGCAACACAAAATCACACAGGCAGCCGGCAGCCGACAGTCGGCTATTCAGGTGACATCTAATTGCATTTCGCATTGGGAGAAATGTCCGAAAAAATATCTAAATGGAACGTGCTGCGGG